ACCCCTCCAGGTCCTCCTGAGGTCCAGGGCGGCCCTCGGAGAAGCCTCAGGCCCCACTTCTGAGGTAGAGCCACTGGGCCCCCTGTGCTCCAGGGAGGAGCTGCTGCTGTAGTTCATCTCCAGGCTGCAGGCGGACAGCTGGTCCCCTGAGGGGCAGGCAGGGCCGGACCACGGCTCTCCCGGCCCGGCGCCTTGGCCGTGGGTCTCCGGGAGCTCCTCCGGCGGGGAGGCGCCCTCGAGGCACACGACAGGCCCCCGGCCCGAGCCCCCCGCGTCGCCGGTGCGGCAGGGGCTCCGGCTGCGGTAGATGAAGGGGTCGTAGTCGCTGCTGAGGGAGCTGCGGAAGGTGGAGCAGCTGCCGTACACTCCCTGGTTGCTGGCCTCCGTGCAGTCCACCACGGAGTCGCTGGAGGAGCAGCGGCACTGGCCGGAGCTGCTGCTGTCGCTGCCCGGGCAGTCGGCCAGGTAGCCGCTGCACACCGAGCGGTGGCCGTGGTAGCAGCTGAAGCTGGATGCGCTGCCGCTCTCCAGGTGGGAGGGTGGGGCCATGGGCACCACGGGGAAGAGCAGGCTGCTGCTGCCACCGTGGGGGAAGGCGCGGGCCGGGCCCCGGGGCGCGAGGCTGGGAGGCGCCGGGCCCTCCTGCTCGGGGTAGCTGAGGCCCTGGAAGTAGTAGTGCTGGTACACGGTCTCGTACTGGGAGAAGCAAGCTGCCTTGGAGAAGCTGCGGCTGCTGAACTTGGGCCTGCGGAAGGGGTGGGCTGGTGAGTAGGCGCGGTGCTCCAGGCCGCAGCGGTGAGGGCCCAGGGTGTGGTCCAGGTGGAGGGGTGGGTAGCCGCGGATGTAGGTAGGGGTCTGTGGCGAATAGAGGCTCTGCTCCCCGTGCCGGTCCACGGTCAGCAGGGTGACAGGGTTCCCGTGGGAGTCCATGCTTGTCCTCGTGGGGTAGGCTGGGATGGCGTTGGTCCTGTGCACGCGGCCGGGGTAGTGCACTGGCAAGATCACCCTCTGCTGCCGGCTGCGTGGGAGGTTGCCGGCCTCCATGCACACGGTGCTTGGGTTTCCCTTTTGTTCTGGGGAGAGGTGGAGGAAACAAAGTCGGCAGGGCTGAGCACACTGGGGCCAGAGGGACAAATAAGGACAAAGGCTGAAGCAGCCAGCTTGGTTGCATATGCCAAGGTGCCGAGTGGCCACCGAGTTCTAAGTTGCCCCAAACTCAGCCATGCTGGCAGAGGCTGCCCTGCTTCGAAAGGCAGTCATTCCTGTAAGGGCCCATCTTCCACCTCCCCACTGGTCTGCCTGGAGAGCAACAGGGGCACCAAGATGAAAGGCGTTTCCCTCCCGGAAATATGGCTCCCTGGCGTGCACACTGCGCCCCGGCCCCTCACCAACACCACAGCTGGCAGGGGCAGCACCACAGCCCTGCCAGCTCTCACTCGTTGTCTCGGCGGCCTGGAAACAGCCCCTTGGTACTGGGCCCGGGCAGGGA